CTAGTTGGTGGCAGATAAGTCACGCAAGTCAACCGGCATTCAGAGCTAAAATACAGCAGCGTGTGGACCATTTTTAGCCCAAGGCAGCTCATCTCATCAGGCCTTTTTTACATAGGGTCACTTGGCAGATATGGATTGACACCTGTCCACAAGGACAAGCTGCAGACTTCCTGGCAGGGCCCATACAAGGTGGTAGAGCAGGTTTGTGATACCACCTTTGTGATCGGTGCGGTCACAGGCACGGGAGGCAAGCGCATGCTCCATGTGAACAACCTCAGACGCCTATCCTATGCCACGGATAGACGAGCTCCTAGACAAAATGGCCAGAGGCCAGTACCTCACCACAATAGATCTGTGCAAGGGGTACTGGCAAATTCCATTAGCCGAGGACGCCATCCACAAGTCGGCATTTGTCACCTTGTTTGGCCTGTATCCCATTCGGGATGAAGAATGCCCCGGCTAACTTTCAGAGGATGGTAGATCGGCTACTGGATGGGTTTCAGGAGTATGCCTGCGCCTACTTGGATGATATAGCCATTTTTAGCTGCTCCTGGCCCGAACACCTGACCCACATAGGAGCCGTACTAGACCGGATTAAGGAGGCCGGACTGACCCTAAAGCCCAGTAAGTGCCATATAGGAACGCGTAAAAACTTTCCCAAGATAGTAGTATGGGCCCCAGAGTGTGAACAGGCCTTCCAACAGCTCAAGACGGCGCTCATTAAATCACCTGTACTTTCTGCTCCTGATCCAACTAAACACTTTCTCATCCATACAGACGCTTCTATGTTTGGATTGGGAGCAGTACTGAGCCAAGTCGGAGCAGATGGTGGCGAGCGACCCGGGGCTTATCTAAGCCGGAAACTTTTGCCGAGGGAAGTAGATAAACTGCCATTGAAAAGGAGTGCATGGCGGTGGTGTGGGCCCTCAAAAAGCTGCAACCTTACTTGTATGGACAACCGTTTACCTTACTCACAGATCACAACAAATTTGGGGCACTGCGCGTGCAATCTAATGTGCCACCAGATAGGAGTGGTGTGTTTAGTACTATTTTTATCAGTTTAATCCCTGTTAAGTCCCCTATCCGTTGATGTGGAGCAAGACGCAGCAGCAGAAGAGGACTCAGCCGAGGAGGTTATGGAAGAGGATGGAGTAGGAGGAGTAGAGGAGGTGGCAGCAGGCCTGACTGCAAGTCGTGGCGGTGTCACCAACTCCTCTGCAGAGCCACGCATTCCATGCTTGGCAGTCGTCAGCAGGTTTGCCCAATGTGCAGTGTAGGTGATATACCTGCCCAGACCATGCTTTACAGACCAGGTATCAGTGGTCAGATGGACCCTTGCCCCAACACTGTGTGCCAGACATGCCATTATTTCCTTTTGCACAATCGAGTACAGGTTGGGGATTGCCTTTTGTGAAAATAAATTTCGTCCGGGTACCAGTGAGTGAGTGGTGGCACTGGGCACAGTATCCACTGTGAGCCTGACACACCTGCTGGCAGACAACTAACTGCTATTCAATCTATAACAGTGAAAAAAGTTTTTTGTTTTTAAATGCAAGCTATTATGACACCAGATATGAGTGGCACTGTAAACTGTCAGAGTACACGCTGTAGGGCTGAAGCACCCGCTTGAAGACAACTAACTGCTATTCAATCTATAACAGTGAAAAAAGTTTTTTGTTTTTAAATGCAAGCTACAGACACCAGATATGAGTGGCACCAAACTGGCAGAGCACACGCCGTAGGGCTGACACACCATTGAAGATAACTAACTGCTATTCAATTCCATAACAGTGAAAAAGTATTTTTGTTTTTAAATGCAAAGCTATTATGACACCAGATATGAGTGGCACTGTAAACTGGCAGAGTACACGCCTGTAGGATGACACACACCCGCTGGCAGACAACTAACTGCTATTCAATCTATAACAGTGAAAAAAGTTTTTTGTTTTTAAATGCAAGCTATTATGACACCAGATATGAGTGGCACTGTAAAGTGGCAGAGTACACGCTGTAGGGCTGACACACCCGCTTTGAGACAACTAACTGCTATTCAATCTATAACAGTGAAAAAAGTTTTTTGTTTTTAAATGCAAGCTATGACACCAGATATGAGTGGCACTGTAAACTGGCAGAGTACACACTGTACGGCTGACACACCCGCTTGAAGACAACTAACTGCTATTCAATCTATAACAGTGAAAAAAGTTTTTTGTTTTTAAATGCAAGCTATTGTGACACCAGATATGAGTGAGTGGTGGCACTGTGCACCGTATCCACTGTGAGCTTAACACACCCGCTTTAAGGACACTGACTGCTATTCAATCTATAACAGTGAAAACATTTTTTTGTTTTTAAATGCAAGCTATTGTGACACCAGTTAGTGGTGGCACTGGGCACCGTATCCACTGTTAGCGTAACACACCCGCTTTAAGGACACTGACTGCAATTCAATCTATAACAGTGAAAAAAGTTTTTTTTTTTAAATCCAAGCTATTGTGACACCAGATCTAATTGGTGGCACTGGTCACCGTATCCACTGTTAGCGTAACACACCCGCTTTAAGGACACTGACTGCTATTCAATCTATAACAGTGAAAAAAGTTTTTTGTTTTTAAATCCAGGCTATTAAGACACCAGTGAGTGGTGGCACTGGGCACCGTATCCACTGTTAGCGTAACACACCAGCTTTAAGGACACTGACTGCTATTCAATCTATAACAGTGAAAAAAGTTTTTTGTTTTTAAATGCAAGCTATTGTGACACCAGTGAGTGAGTGGTGGCACTGGGCACAGTATCCACTGTGAGCCTGACACACCCGCTTTAAGGACACTGACTGCTATTCAATCTATAACAGTGAAAAAAGTTTTTTGTTTTTAAATGCAAGCTATTGTGACACCAGTGAGTGAGTGGTGGCACTGACTGGGCAAATGGGCACAGTATCCACTGTGAGCCTGACACAGAAGCTGGCAGCAGTGGCAGACAACAACTGCTATTCAATCTATAACAGTGAAAAAAGTTTTTTGTTTTTAAATGCAAGCTATTGTGACACCAGATATAAGTGGTGGCACTGACTGGGGAAATGGGCACAGTATCCACTGTGAGCCTGACACAGAAGCTGGCAGCAGTGGCAGACAACTGACTGCTATTCAATCTATAACAGTGAAAAAAGTTTTTTGTTTTTAAATGCAAGCTATTGTGACACCAGATATAAGTGGTGGCACTGACTGGGAAATGGGCACAGTATCCACTGTGAGCCTGACACAGAAGCTGGCAGCAGTGGCAGACAACTAACTGCAATTACATTACACAGAAAGAAAAAAAAAGCATACCCTAACCCTAACCTAGCTATGCATTTCCCTATCTAATCAACAGCAGCTACACTTTCCCTCCTCTCACTATGCATGCAGCTTGAGAATGAATGTAAAATGGATGCCTTCCAGTAGGTGGGAGGGTCTGCTAGGGAGGGTGTGCTGCTAATTGGCTGCAATGTGTCTGCTGACTGTGAGGTACAGGGTCAAAGTTTACTCAATGATGACGAATAGGGGGCGGATCGAACCGCGCATGCGTTCGCCGTCCGCGGCGGACGCGAACACGCTATGTTCGCCAGGAACTGTTCACCGGCGAACTATTCGGTGCATCACTAGTAATCATCACCGCTGTAATGGAATCAAGCGTGGCACCCAGAATTGTTGACCCTCCTCGATATCATCCTCTGCTCCTTCCAGTTTTACCTGCCTTCTGGCACCCGTTGTTAATGCAGGAGCATCTGGAGTTGGTGGCTTGGAGTCATTCAGAGGAGCCTGGAACGTTAGGGACTATCACAATCAACTAGAGACCTATTATGGGACTCATGGGCACCAGGTATTCAACAAAATTACTTATCCGCATAGAACACCTGGAGTCGATGGTGTATGGGAAGGGACTGCGATCCCTTTACTGCCCCTTTTTACTTGATGTTGAATCTTTATCACGCCTTTTCATTACAAGTGATTGTACCATTCCATTAACATGATACGTTCCGCGATTTTGACGACGCATGTTACGATTCATGACACTCCGGTCGGTCAGGATCCTTTCATATGCCGCTTACTGCGGGGTATTGATCTGTCCAGATCCCTGTGGCATAGTATATCTGTTGGTGGGATGTTGATTTGGTTCTTTTGGGACTAGTCAGATAACACGGACATATCTCTGTCAGCCGTCGGCCAAGTAACATTAATTTTATGTCTTTTCGTCGGGTATCAGATGTACTGGCGTTTGACGTGGACGGTTTTCGGTATCACCGGAATGCGCGATTTTTACTGTGTCTTTGTTAAGCGGTATTTTGTTACATGGAGATCACGACACCCCTTAGATTGTCACACTCAGGACAACTGCTGGTCTCTTATACCAACACTACAAGCCAGTTACCACGACCACTTTGTCTAGATGAGTTTGTTGGTGGTTATCGTAGTGGGGGTGGAGACGTCAGGTACGAGGTGCAGCCACTTCTCAGGCCTTTACAGGGGTGGGCCTATATATTTTACATGCGGTAAATTGAACACAGGAAGACACCTTCCATAAACGTATTTTCGTCAAACCACACACGCATCCCTCTCACTCATATCACAGCATTAACCCCTTCAGACCGGAGGGCGTACTATTACGCCCTATTATAGGCGGCTCTACGCCCTCCGGTCGTTCGGTACTTACCCGGTCGACGGCGGTCCCACGCCGGCGATCGCGGTGGGGGGGACTCCCAGGGAGCCCCCCGCGGCACTTCCGTCCTCCACGAAGCCCCCCGGCCATGTGAGAGTGGGGTCCTTGCGAGGACCCCACAATCACATGGCCGGGGATAGCTGGCTTCTGTATTGCCAGCAGGGGGGCTGCCTGTAATACCTATATATAAATAAAAATATTTTTTAAAAATTATATAGATATATACATATATATACACACATACGTATATATATACATATATTAATTCTACATATATATTTATGTAATATTTTTACATAATTAGGTATCTTAACTAATTACAATTAGCAGGACCTGCCTGACAACCCATGCCGAAAGTAAAGGGAATTTAATTTGCTAGCACTATATTTAACCCTATAACTTTCCGAGACACCACAAAACCTGTACATGGGGGGTACTGTTCTACTCGGGAGACTTCGCTGAACACAAATATGAGTGTTTCAAAACAGTAAAATGTATTACAACGATGATATCGCCAGTAAAAGTGAATTTTTTTGCATTTTTCACGCACAAACAGCATTACACGGACAATATTATTGCTGTGATACTTTTTACTGTTTTGAAACACAAATATTTGTGTTCAGCGAAGTCTCCTGAGTACAACAGTACCCCTCATGTACAGGTTTTATGGTGTTTTCAAAACTTACAGCGTCAAATATAAGGCTTGCGTTTCATTTTTTTCACATTAAAATTCGCCAGATTGGTTACATTGCCTTTGAGACCCTATGGTAGCTCAAGAATGAAAATGACCCCTATGATGGCATACCATTTGCAATAGTAGACAACCCAAGGTATTGCAAACAGGGTATGTCCAGTTTTTTTTAGTAGCCACTTAGTCACAAACACTGGCCAAAATTGGCGTTTTTTTTGCATTTTTCACACAAACAAATACTAACGCTAACTTTGGCCAGTGTTTGTGACCAAATGGCTACTAAAAGACTGGACATACCCCATTTGCAATACCTTGGGTTGTCTACTATTTCAAATGGTATGCCATTATGGGTGTAAATTTCATTCCCGGGCTACTATACAGTCTCAAAGGCAATGTAACCAATCTGGCGAATTTCAATTTCAAATGTAACATGCTATATTTGACCTGTACATAGGGGGTACTGTCTTACACGTGAGACTTTGCTGAATACAAATATGTGTATTTTATTGCAGTAAAAGCAAATAGTATTATGACATTGACAGTTAAAATGTCCTGTAGAATTAAAAAAAATTTTTTAAAAATTGTATTTTCTCCCATTTTTTTCATATTAAATTATGTTTCATAGCTAAATATTTGATATTAAATGAAAGCCCTGTTTCCCTGAATAAAATGATATATAATAAGGGTGGGTGTATTTACTATGAAAGAGGTGTATTACGGTTGGACAGACATGTAGAGCAAATGCCAGGTTTTGTTTACATTTTGTTTTGTTCACAACGTGTACATTTGGTTCCGTCCTTAAGGGGTTAAAAATGCAAGATATGAAGCCTCCTGTCATGTGATATAATTGTAGATTATGCCAACGTAGTGTACCTATAATCTTAATAATGACAGGAGGCGAGTATTTTACCTCCCTGTTTCCCTCCCTATACTCTGGGAAATTCTATTTTTCTTTGTTTGGCATTTTCACAGTGTATTGATAAGGTTTTGGTATTTTCAGTATATTTATGGGATGCTTATCTGGTTGACATATTTTAGATCCGTGTTAATTATTAGGATACTAATAGTTGGTTAATGTTTCGGTATACTAACTATTTATAAATATAGATACATATAGTACTGGATTTAATGTGGACAACAGTTGGTTTCCATCACCTTTCACTTATTTCATTTTAGCGTAATCATCATAGATGGATTCGACAAGATAAAGCTGGAAGGTTTCAAGTTTCGTGTGTTCTACACATTACTCAGGACTGTTTGAATTGCCTGACGTTATAATAGACTGTTTTTCACATCAAAGAAAGAGAAAGTCATATGTCTGTCAGGGCTTTATATATGGATGTGATACCCGTTACTGATTGGTTTAAAGTTTTTTGATTGACTTGTGCTGCTGGAGGCATAAAGTAAAGAAAGTTATGCAAAATACTCACATCCTGTCATTAAAATTAAGATTATAGGTACACTACGTTAGAATAATCTACAATTGTATATAATTTGCTGTATATGAACCAAAGTAAACAAAACAATATTTGTGGAATTATCTCCATGACTAATGTAACTACTGTGTTGACTGTGCTTTTCTCATGTATTATTGTGTTTTATTTTATCTTATCTTTGTATGTATACCTGTATGATGATTACATACTGAAAACTAATTTTATGAAAATAAACAAACAAAATGTTAAGCTTCAGATTGTGCCCAGTGAGACAATGACTCTTACCACAAAAAGAAACAAATATGAAACAAAGATATGATATGCATTTTATTAATCATGTTTCTTACAATCAAAATCATAAGCTATTTCTAAAATCTGTATTGATTTCTAATGATGGCAATCTGTTTTAAAATCTTCAAAATTATTATTTTGAAGTAATCTGTGGAAAGAAAAAAACATGAACTTGTTAAAATTCACAAAATATAGTCTTTAAAGCATACGTCACAACATGATATTTATACAATATTAATCTAGTAAATGTTGTGACATCAGTTGTAATATAAACTACACCAAAATCCATCATAGTGTGTCCCTTAGTCTTTGTAGAGAAAATGAGAACAACGTGTCTCTCAGTCTCTTTTTTTAGATATAGAAATACAATATATAGATATATATTTTATGATAGCATGGTAAAGGTCAGAAGGGGTCATAACATTTTACTTTATATTGTATAATTTCGAACCAGAAAGGATAAAAGCATTCACTCGATTTTATATACATTCTCGCAAGAAAGTTTATGTATATATACATACACACACCTGTTATACACACAAATACATATAAAAATGTAAAAACAACCAATATCACAAAAAACGATAATTAAATCAAACATTGAGTATTATGACTAACATGAATAAATACAGTAATATATTAATAAATAAAATACATAATTGGGCTGGTAAGCATGTAAAGAAAATCTAGGACCTAATTAAAGTTCTGCCAAATAATGTTCCTATTACCAGAATAGTTAATAGGTTCAAAACAATAATCAATTTATATACCATTTGCATTAAGTTATTCTTTGGAACTGTGAAAAGGTGAAAAGTTGGAAAATGTATTTCAATTCAAAAAACATATTAAAAAATAAGTCAAAGTTCCATCACAGCTTAGGAGCATCAGTAATTAAAAACTAACTTGCTACAGAGCAATAACTTCCTGTGATATTCTGTATCTTTCATTTTCTCCATCAATGACGCTAAAGACATATCTGCCTGTCATTTATTTACGTCTCTTGGGCAGCTAATCATTTTAAATTGTGTCATCTGCTACCATTTATCTGGATATGCCCTTCATGCATTTTCTTATCTTTGTTGATTACAGTAAGCCAATTGTTGATTTTCTGTAGCACGCTCTCTGTTCATATGATATTTGTGCTGCTAGTATAGCATTATATAGCATTAACGTAGAGGTTTATATCTCAAGCAGTAAGTTATAATGACTAGAAAAAAAACAGCGAAATAGTAAGGTTGAATTCAAGTGAGTATTTTTTTCAGTTTTTGCTGTTTTGTCTGATATTTTTCATAATATTGTGGTGCATTTGTGCATATGCATTGATTAGTATCCACATTAGCATAGATGGCAAGTTTTAAGCGGTATATGCTTTTCAAATTTAGTTTATTAAATATCCTAAATCTTTTAAAATATCCTTTTTAAGTTTAGTTGAGAAAAAGGAGAGAGAGCACTACCTAAAAAAATATAATCTAAAATTTTACTTTTAATGGTGAACACAATACACAGGCACAGATATACCTTTACTTTCTAACTACATCTACTTTGGGGTTTTATAGAACGGATTACTCCCAGAAGGTGCTATCTCGCATATTTTCTACATCACACTTGTGAATACCTAACTGCAGCCTAACAGTCAAATTAGACAGTATTCTTATGTTGTCATACCACTAGAGTGTTTAATTTTCGTTTATGACCTATTTATAACAAAGTATTCTTCACAAATTACAGCAGCAGACGTTTTTCTTTTTATTTGCAAAGCCTGATTAACTGTAACAGAATACTCTAGACATATTGCAACAGTATCATCATAGCAGACAGTTTCTATTCAAAGTTGGATATCCAAGTCTATTTAACATTGTTAACTACATCTTTGATATTTAGATACTGTCTTTTGGTTTTTAAATCTTAAATTTTTTCATATTATCTTTCTGTGTCTTGGTATGCATATATCTAGAGTTACTAAGATTCTATGTGTGAAATGATCACTCTGTATTGTGTTCACCATTAAAAGTTAAATTTTAGATTATATTTTTTTAGGTAGTGCTCTCTCTCCTTTTTCTCAACTATACTTAAAAAGGATATTTTAAAAGATTTACATTTAGGGATAACCCCTTCACTACCTTGATACTTCACCTTTATACTAGGCTTTCACCTTGTTAAATCCTTTTTAAGTATCCTTTTTTATTAAAATATTAGTTTTGTCACGGTTAAGATATTGTTAATTTGATATAATATTTAAAAATGTAAAGCATTTGTTTTACCATCTGGGGTCTTTCCATAATTTAGAAAGACGCCTGACAGTGACATCGCCGCTGGGGGTCTGGTGCCATGGAGGGCAGGGAAAGGTGAGATTTACTTAAAATCCACCTGTCTCTCATGGGTGCGGCCATCTTCCTCTGTCTGCTTTTCTTCAGCTCCGGGAGCCAATGTCCGCTCCTTAACCTCACAAGACCACGGGATTCTCCATGGAAAGAGTGTAATTTCCCTACAGCCATCACTGGTGACGGCAAAATTTCTGCAAAATTATTATGAATGCCAGAACTGAGGCAAAAGCGGCTGATCTGGAAATCTTTCCAACTCAGCTATAATCACACCTTTGATAGTTTAACAGTTTAGCCATTCAGAGTTAATTTGCAAAAATTGGGAATTTATCAATTAACCCTTTTAAGGTAGAAATAATATTTTATGAGTGCTTATTAAAATGTCAGTCATTAACAAACTAGTAGCATATATAAGAAAAATGTACCTTTTCAAATTTAGAAGAATTGTGCACCTGGGTAATTTCTTTCCATGTTGTTCATACTAAGGCCTCCAAGACCATCAGCAAAGCCTGTGCTTACAGAAAATCCTTCTGATCCCTTAGTATTACTTAAAAGCCTGTCACTTTGTCCTCTATTATCTGCTGCATTATCAATTAAATTTAACTCACCATCTGCAGTTATTGAACCCCCCCAAATACCACTAGTTATTTTATTATTCCCCGGTGTCTGTTTTTCAAAAATTGTACTAAATGAGTTAGTGCTGTCTAAACCAGTAACACCCAAAAGAGGGTTTGAAACATCAGCAATATTTCCAGGAATGCCACCAAATTCAGCACTGCTCCCTGGACTACCTAAACGTCCCTTTGGGTCATTACCTACAGGGAGAATATCTGTCAATCCTGCAGCTACACCACCAACACCCAGCTGACTAATTGTTTCTGTAGCTTTCCTTACAACACTCCCTACGTCACGCAATGCTTCTGAAACTCCACCTAAGATACCCCCACTATTATTTATCCCTGTTAGGCTACTTAATGATGCAAGCCCCCCTAAAGGTCCTTGGTTCCTGGGTGCCTTTTCACCTAGAACATGTTCACTTTCTACAAAGCTTCTAGTTCCCCCACTTAGCTTTCCATTAGAGTATAGTAATTCCTGATGGTTTTGCAGAACAGGAGGCTAAAAAAACAAACAAAAAAAAACACCATCACAAATTAAAGCTTTCTCATTTCGTCACATATATTTAGCACTTAAAGCTAGCACAATTTATATTTTTACTACAAGTTATTAAAAGAAGTGTTACATATGTCTGACAGGTACAATACTACACATGCAAATATCCATGACAGGTGCAATAAATAGATAGGACAACAATTGAGAACAAAACAACAAATTTGCTGTTCTAGGATACATTATAAGTTGATTACATTAATTCATACAAACTGACCCCCTTTGAAATAAATTGGCTGGTCAAATGAACTTTATAGTAGTCATCCAAACCAATTCATCTCAATGAAGTGGTCTGGATGCAGAGGTGAGAGGACAGGAACACTGCAATGAAAAACATTGCTTTTTTTGTTTGTTTTTTGTTTGATTAAGTTCTCCTCCTGTGGGAAAATGTTTACATTTGTTCACATGAAAAGGAAGCTCCATAAGAAAGCACTGATTTTCTATGGGAAAGTTTGAATGCGTGCACGGCACTTGCCACACATGCGCATTAGGTCCCCTGTGCACCTGTAAAAGGAGCACTTGATTGGAACATACCAGAGAAAGCCATGCCTCCTCAATGATGCACGGAGAGGTGAGTAGCACATTTATAGCTAGAGAAAGGGACACTAAACAGGTTTGTATTCTAAACACTATAGGGTTCTTTAAGCTACATTGCCCTTTTACAAAAAGGAAAGATAATCTGCTTTTTATGCCCCTCTGTGCCAGACCCGATGTGTCTCTGCCAGTTAAGGACCAATACAGAGTAATGGGGAAGAAAACTAGGGCTTAAATGGCTAAATGCATTCTTACATTGCTTTGTAATAAAAAAGGAAATGAGGACTGTGTATACATGGGGTTGAAATAAAAGAGGTTTACATTTTTGGAATGACAAATTATGGATACATTTTAAACATGTGTTGAATACTGCTGAAGGAAAGAAAAAAAAAAAAGGTACATTACTACTATTGTACAATATACATTTGTGAATAAAGCTAAACTATTACCTTTATAATAAACACAATATATACAATTGAAACACATAGGGAAGTGCTTCAAGTTAGTTTTAGAAGTATAGTAGAATGTGGGCAAAAAAATTTAAGATTTTTTGTTGCTTTAAAAAAACATAATATTCCAGTCCTAAACCACATCTATTTTGATTGTAATTTTAGTCTCAAACTGCAATCAGACAAAAACACTCCACTGCCCAAATAAAAAAAAAAATGTAAAATTAAAAAAAAAATCTTAATAGATATACCCCAAATGAAAATATACATGCATTTAAGGATTAAATTTTTTCATGGGGGTACATTTAAAAAATATCTTTGCAAATCCTTTGTCTGAAGCCTCTGCAAGCCCTCACATTCTAACCCAGCCCAGAATTTGTGTGACTTCAAGTCGTTGCTAGGCAATTGCTGCCTCTCGAGTTTGGCTCCACAGAGCTAAACAGACTTGAAAGAAGAGAAAAAGAGGAGAAAATAGATATAAGAATAGAGAGCCGATACAGAGAAATCCTCCTGAATGGAGGTTAACCCCTATAATAATAACACATTTCCTTAGAAAAGGCAGGAGGATTCCTGTGTATCTAATGATGAAATTGTAGAAATCGGTTAGTAACCACTATCTTTTATTGAATATAAGAGAAATGTGAGGAATGAGGGATGTGAGATGTTTTGTGAGGAGTGTGAGTTGTCTATGAACCATCAATGTGGTACATCTGATATTTTGATTCTGTAATTTTGCACCATTCAGTAGACCTACACCTCTTATATTTATATTATATTTTTCATTATTGTTGTGTGTTGATGTAATTGGTCTTTTTAGTGTTTGTCCATTTAGTTTATTTATGGCTTTGGTGGAGATATTTTCCCTCAGGATATTATTCTCAAATTTTTTATTATTTAAGTTTACATTTTAATCTATTTGCTCAGTCAGTATATTCACCGTAGTAGGTATCCTTTCATTTGTATTCAATAAAAGATATTGGTTACTAAACAATTTCTACAATTTAACCATTAGATACACAGGAATCCTTCTGCCTTTTCTCTGTTTGTCACAGAGCTAAGCAACAAACATAACAGGACTGGTTTTCTGATGGACAGTCAGGTGGGTGCCTCAAGGTGAATTTATACAACTTCTAAATTCTATTGAAATCTGCTTTTTGTAAATTTAAAAATATAAAAAAAATTAGACACTCTTCACACAGAGCAGTGTAGCAAGCGGAAGACCTTTAGAATATGAACATACATACATACATACACACACTTGAGCATGGATTTTAAGAAAACATTGTATTTAACAAAGACCGATATGCATTATATTTAAATGAATTGTTTTTTTTTTCCTAAACAAATTTTTAAACATCTGAACAAAATCCCAACTATAAAAATAGAATAAAAGTAGGACGGAATATAATTTATCTTTATGTTTGATGTAATTTTTTCTTTACCAATAATATAGGAATCCTCGTAACAAGATTACCCTAGAAGTAAAACATAAAAATGAATAAATGGGTATACTATATTTTATAATGTAAACACTTAATTTCATGTACACTATTATTCCATATTAGCTATTACAAAACAAAAATATAATTTACAAAAATGTATATAGTATACATTTGATAACATATTGGGGGAAATGTAGCAAAATAGCTATTTTGATTATTCTGGCCTTAATTGTGCCAATTCTGTCTACATTGTAAACTTTAAGTAAGGTGTTAAAGAAATTATATGTCCCAATTAGATATTTAGCATATGTAGAAAAAAGTTCATATAACTAAAATAATTAATAAAGTGTTTAGCATAAGCTATATATCCTTTGAAGTGTCCTCTAATATCTCTTTACTTTTCAATTAAGAATTATAAACAGCATGATAATTACATGATTTGTTATATTATTTTATTAAAAGTATGTACTTTATTAGTGGCCTTTATTTATTTTTACATTAAAATATATGCTACATAGAAACAATATACAAATTACATGATATAGTTATATCATTTTATTAAAAGTATGTTGTAAGCGCAAAACTTAATACAAAAACTTGTATTTAAAGCTCTAGGGCAGGTGTTTCTTTTGCACTAGATATTTTTCATTTGGAATTATGTCATGCATTTATGGAGATCATTAAAACATCTAATATCTTCTACGAATACTTTAATTTCTTCACTTGGTATCTTATGAAAGTATATTAAAGTGTACTAAATGCTGAATATACTTAGAATCCTCCCCCCTTCAGATGCTAGCCATGGGTTTTGATCTTCAAAATGTGATGTAAAATGTAGGAGAAGTAGAGATGCAGAGGGGTAGAATAGTGCCCTAGTAATGAAATTTACTTCTCTCAGGTGTAAAAAGGAACACTAAGACAAAGAGGAAGATAAGCAGAGATGAGGTTAAATGTGGTTTGGCATTTCTTTGCAAAAAGAACAATTAACAGTAGTATATGTATTGAAAAGGTAGAAAGTGCAAGGTTTATTAAAGGGACACTATAGTCACCAGAACAACTACAGCTTAATGAAGTTGCTCTGGTATCTATAGTATGTCCCTGCAGACATTTTAATATAAACACTGACTTTTTAGAGAAAGACACTATAGTCACCAGAACAACTACAGCTTAATGTAGTTCTTTTGGTATCTATAGAATGTCCCTGAAGACATTTTAATGTAAACACTGCCATTTCAGAGAAAATGCAGTGTTTAGATTGCTTCCTAGTTACACTTCCAGTGACAGCTACTCAGACAGCCATTAGGGGTGCTTTCTGGGTCAGTGCTGCACAACATGGAGCTCTGACATTTAGCGTGTCCACAGATCCCGATTGGCACAGAGGGGAGTTTTGCAGCCCTTGACCATTAGCCTCCCAATGCATTCCTATAGGATGATCTCAGCCAAGGAGGAGGAGGAACAGGGGCAGGGCACCAACATGTATTTTTTAAGGGGGCTAATTGGGGCTGGGCACCTAACATGTATTTTTCAATACTATTGGCTCAGGAATACACATTTGTATTCCTGAACCTATAGTGTTCCCTTAAATTAAATTTAGTACTACGATCAAAAACTCATCCCAGAAATGATTGACCTGTGACTTAAAGAACACTCTAGGTACCATAACAACTCAATGAAGTTGTTAAATAATTTGGAGATCCTGGGGGCTGTCTTACTTCATGGCATTAAATTATTTTCAAATGTTTAACTCCTAAGTTGTTCATGGTGTCTATCTGCTTGGCATTTTTGCCGCTTTAGTGGTTATGATGCTAGGAATACCCTTTCGCTGTTACCTGGCAATGATGAAAACTGTTTTGCAATGGTTTGCCTTATTACTTTGGTTCCCCTGAGATAACACAATGCCAATAAATAAACTTCTGCGACTGAGCATAGAATATGCATAGAATAAACATTAGCCAGCATGGAACTCTCATTGTGAGATAACTGATTATTGTGAGATAACTTAAAATCTAAGGAGAAATTTGATCACTATTTTTGAGACAAGAAGGAATTTTTCATATTGTGTTGCAATATCAAAAATACCTTCCAAATTTACACCTTCAGGTCAACAGCAGCTAAATAGATGTGTGATTGACCTAGTCTGATCTTTATTTCAGTCTATATTATTGTACAACTATGTAAATCTTACCAATAATCCACATTTGGGTGTTACAAGTGAACCCAGGTTAAGAGAAACCTAGAAAACAAATCAAATATATATTATTTGTTGTTTTGTTAGAATTTCTAATTAAATTATCTTACCTGACATTTACTCTTTTTCTCAAACTAATTCTGTCTAACCCCAAATTTATTTTAGATCAGTTCTTTACCTATACGTTTCAATTGTCATGTTCTCTTACTCACCTATATTCTTTTTATCTTTACATAATTAACATTCACTCAAAAAACCTACTTTCACGTTAAACTTTGTGCACTCTAACTAAAGGACTTTAACTAAAATTCACTTTTCTGTTTTCAATTTTAGCTTCCTTTAAGAACCCTTTAATTATTAGCCAACATGTATATTAACACATTGCCAAAGTTAAATTTCTTTGTTCAATTAATAGGACTTCAGCTGCAATATATTAAAGAAAGATTCTCAACACCATAACCACTACATCACTTGGCAGTGGTTATGTGCCACATGTGCCATGTCAACCTCCCAGAATAAGTAGTCAAACAGTTTGTGTACAATTTGACAACTTACTTTGGGTTTACCAGGAGCTGGTCACCTTCTCCTGTGGAGCTGGAAGTGCCTGAAAAGAACTTATATTAGCTCCACTAAGCTAAGCACTGTTTACTGGACTCTCTCAGCCAATTAGCTTAGCTCTACAAAGCCAGGTTTACTCTGTTTAAAGTTTTTCCAGTGGCAAATATGAATAGTGCTCAGGGAGTTCCACATACATTGTCAAACCATTCACAAATGGTTTTACTACATACCATGAAAGGGAAACAGAGCACTCCTGGTAGCATAATCACTACAATGCACTGTAGTTGTTATGGTTCTTGGCATGTCCCTTTAAAGTTATAGGTCTGGTTTCAAAAAAGGTTAACATAGATTTTCATTCTAATAATGATGTTTGCTGATATGAGTACCATTAGTCTTGGAAAGTACTTAACATCTAATTGTACTCTACCTGAATAAATATTTCAGGGTTTATTCACTACATTGAGTAAAATATAAAAATAAAGTGCAAGCGCTCCTAGTAACACAATATGTCCATAAGGTTCAGGAAAATATTTATTGGTATAGTAAAAGTGTGAAATATAATGATACAAAGTGTAATACAATACAGTATCTAAACGCACCACTGCTCAAAATAAATAAAAACACTTGAACCACAGACACAGAGCTAAACATCCAAGGTCCTAATGCCGTGAAAGCAACTAGGACCAGAATGGGTATAACCAATCCAAAGTAAAAATGAAAATGCCACAAGAAAAACAAGATAAAAAAAAAAAGGTATATACCCAGATATAAAGAACAACATCCAATGTCCTAATGCCGTCAAAACAACTAGAACCAGGATGTAGCAATATGGTGTAACAATATAGAGTGTAACAACAACAGATTCATTTTCATTTTTACTTCGGATTGGTTATACCCTTTATTGTTACATTCTGGTCCTAGTTGCTGAACTATTACCTTATAGACATATTGTGTTACTAGGAACGCTTGCACTTTATTTTTATATTTTACTCAATGTAGTGAATATTTTACATCTGTGGTGTACAGCTGCTTACACACAATTATTTTTGCGGAGAATTGATAAGGAAATGTCAAATTCTAGATTAAAATTGCTCAGCAGAAAAATAGTTGCATTGGAAAAGGTTTATATGACTATCTTGACAGAGTTTGAAATTCCCTGGTCTGTTCCCAGTAATTCCTTGTTTCGTGAATAAATGCATTTGATATTTTTATGTTAATATTTGACACATCATACATGTGACACTTCACAAATAAATTGCTATGCTCACTACATAAATTACACACTCAACTAAATCAATAATCAAATTATAATTATCAAAAGCATATCACAGTAATTTCAACATAACTTTAACATAACCCCGTACTTTGCATAATATTAAGCAGAACACCAGTGGTAAGAGTAAAAGGGGGCAGGCTAGTGAGGCAATTCATGTCACTTGCTTTACCTAGAAAGGGAGGGCAGGTACACCTGAAGAGGCATTTCAGCCTGATGTGCATGCACGCTAGCTTTTTGCCAATCACAAAGGCCAGCCCACTAAGGGCGACTTTACAGAGAGTGCTGTAACAGTGCTCTCTGCATGGTCCTCCTGCCCTGAATATAGCTCAAGCGTGACTAATGAGACTCAAGTTATGCTTTCTAGAGACAGTTCCCCAGTGTCCCCCAAAAGTTTGGAAACAAGTTTGGACAGGAATCTTAAATAGGAATTGTTCCCCTAAAAAAGTACTGTTTGGTGGCCTATATTAACTAGTTTACTGCTAGTTATTATTCTTTATTTCATTTAAAATACAGTAAACTGAAATTTACCACCAAGTTTATTGCTGTGGTTAAGAGATTATGTAAGACACCGTCCACATCATTCAAAAGTTGTTTCTAAAAGAAAAATAAATGTTAGTCCATTTGCAGGCATTCAGAATGAAACATATCAAAGTAAATAAAAACCCATAAAGCATACATTTTGTTTTATATTTTCCTCTACCAGGAACAATACATTGTGAGTTTTTGGAGGGGTTATTACTTGCTTATTTAACTTATTTGTTAAAAAGCTATAATTGTATTATAGGAAGACTGATACTATCATAGAATTTACAATGATGAAAGTTTATATTTTCCAGAAGGTTATTCAATTTAATGAGCAAGAGTGAGCTCAGACGGTATGGAAATACTTCACAGAAATTATTAAAGGGACACCATAGTCACCAGAACAACTACAGCTTATTGAATTTGTTCTGGTGAATAGAATCATTCCCTTCAGGCTTTTTGCTGAAAACACTGTCTTTTCAGAGAAAATGCAGTGTTTACATTACAGCCTAGTGATAACTTCACTGGTCACTCCTCAGATAGCTGTTAACCTTTCTGGGTCATTGCTGCCTAAAATGCATCCAAATCATTGATTCAATTCATCTCTATGAAGAGATGCTGATTGGCCAGGGCTGTATTTGAATCATGCTGGCTCTGCCTCTTTGTCAGTCTCAGCCAATCATATGGGGAAGCACTGTGATTGGATCAGACTACCACTTCTGATGATGTCAGCAGACTGCTTGTTTTTCTGAGGCAAACAGCATGCAGAGTTACAGCTTCAGGCTTGAATACAGTAAGATTTTGCTATATTCATGGAGGCATGAGGGGCCCATGGGGGCTAGTTGGTGGTTTTAACACTACATGGTCAGGAATACATGTTTGTGTTCCTGACTCTATAGTGATCTTTTAAGATGAACAGAGTTATTCACTAAAGTGAGAATTGAAATTTAAAGTAAGGTTCAAATTTATGGCCAAAATAGTTGAACTTTATTTAAAATTTTAAATTCACTTTGAAATCCCTTTAAATTGTTACTGCAAGTAAGGGTAGGCTCGTGCAATTAGTTTCAAATCGGTTGCAAAATGTCAGAATTGTGGCCTTTTGTCCAAAATCACAAACTCTAAAATGTTATATGGATGAATCACATAACAGACTAAAACAATGCACGAAACAGTGTTTGCTTAATTTCTGATTTGGAAGTCCATCTGTTGCACCAATTTTTTTTTTAAATGTATGATTGTTGGTTAGGGGACATCTAGTAAACCTACATGTATTCACAGATCAAGTCAGAAGTGACCAATAGAGAGGAAAAAACAAGAAGCATTGAAAAAAAAAACCCCACAAACAACTATAGTGCTAGATTTAAATATAGATGTTGACTGCTTCTCCGGTTTCCCCTTAATTACTCTTGTTAATTGTCACTTAAACTGTTAACCAAATGTTGCAAAAGTGTGCCTGTGTACTGCAAACATTTTTCAATGTGCAAAAGTATATTAAAAGATATGTATGGATCTGAGCCTTAACCAATTTAGCATTTAACAGATAACAGTTTTTACTACATACCAATGTAATCAGATTGCAGTAAAGAGCAGAACAATGAATTATGTAGTAAGTTTCCTGAGATAAAATTTAGGTGAAATTGAATGTGCTACATTCCCATAGTTAATGACTGTTATAATACATTACACAATCGGTTTCCTTATATTAGTATTATAAGATTTATATAGTTGACCGTGTGTCTGTTACGCTACTTGGGGTGATTTGGATTAGAACTCAACTGCAGCTTGTAAACTCCCTAATTACAATAGTGAAGATACGGAGAAATACTGTAACTTTAAGAAAATACTGTAACTTTAAGAAAAGAGAGATTCAACACACAATCACCAAGCACCCTCTCTCTGGCCCAGTCTCCCTAAATACCGTCAGAGCTGTGTCAGAGGGAGGCGTGGTCCAACTCCTCACAGCTGAGTGCCGAACCCAGAAGTGTTACTCCATGACAGTGTCAGAGTTTTAAGAAATGCAAGAGCAAAATTAACCATCTTGGAGTATGTGCTATAAAAGAAAGTAAATCGAACTTACAACTGTCACATTGGGTCCCAATAGGTTCCGAAGACTGCAACCAGTCACACCCTGAAAGAAAATATTAATATGACAATATAAAAAACCCAAGTGTAGTATGATAAATGAAGAATTTATTCTTGTTAATAGGGAGTGAATGAGTAACAGAATCTGCTCTAGATTGCACAGGAGTAACTTTACATGAAGGCTAATTCAATAAACTGAATTTCAAATTTCAGACCAGTGTAGCTGAATGGAAAGCATAGCAGACAGAGTTTTTCCAGTGTGGCTATTTTAACCTTAAATTTGAAATTCACTTTGAATTCATCTTGAATTCTCACTTTAGTGAATAACCCAGACAGAATACATCAAACACAAATAGCAATAAACTGTTCATTCACAAAACTGCAACTCTTATCAACTTCACTACCAACTTGCAAAATTTCAATTATAATAACAGAAGTAGAAAAAAAAATCTCCATTTTGGCTGACTTGGATTTTTTTCCAATTACGCTCTTACTGCCCTTTTCCAAGTAGTGAGGCCACTAAAACTCAATGTTTACAGAAAAATAACTAGTTTATTCAGTAACAAATGTGAGCATGTACACAGTGGTGTATCCTGGTTTTGTGCTGCCCTAGGCAGGACAAAACTCAGGCGCCCCCTCCCCCACCCTCCCTGCACCAGCCCCCCCAAGCCTTCTAAATACACACACACACACACATTCACTGACAGATACGCATACACTCGCTAACAGAAACACACACACACTAACAGACACACTCACACTCACTAACAGACACACACTCACTGACACACTCACAGGCAAACACACTCACACTAACAAACACACACACATTAACAGACACGCACTCACTGACACACACACTCACAGGCAAACACACTCACACTAACAGACACACACACAGTCAGACACACACACTAACAGACACACACACACACACAGTAACAGACACACACACACACTCACAGGCAAACACACACTCACTAGCAGACACATACACACTCACTGACACACAGTCAGACACACACATACACACTAACAGACAAACACAGTCAGACACACACACTAACAGACACACACTCACTCACTAGCAGACTCACACAGTCAGACACACACACATTAACAAACACACACACATTAACAGACACACACTCACTGACACACACATTCACAGGCAAACACACTCACACTAACAGACACACACACTAACAGACACACACACACACACTAACAGACACACACACTCACTAGCAGACACACACACTAACAGACACACACAGTCAGACACACACTAACAGACACACACTCACTCATTAGCAGACACACTCACAGACATATACACACACTCACTCACATTAACACTTTTTTTATTTTTTATTTACCCCACCCCAACCTCCTTACCTTAGGGAATGCTGGGGGGGTCCCTCTCTTCCTGGTGGTCCAGTGGCTGCTGGGTGGGTGGGCGGGCGGCTGGCGAAGGAGCACTTCCTCTGAGCTGACTGCTCAGCTCCCTCGCGTGCCACAGAGTGAGGCTGGGAGCCGGAAGATGACGTCATCTTCCGGCTCCCAGCCTCACTCTGCGGCGTGCGAGGGTGCTGAGCAGTCAGCTCAGAGGAAGTGCTCCCTCGCCAGCCGCCCGCACAGCAGCCAGCGCAGCCCGCCCGCTCGGCATGTCAGTTAGCCGCGAGGCTAACTAGGCATTTGCCTTGGGCAATTGAGGGCGGCGTTTTTTGCCGCCCCCTGAAAAATGCCGCCCAAGGCAAATGCCTTGTTTGCCTCTCGGCTAAAACGCCCCTGCATGTACACCATTGAAACTTTTTGATAAGTAGCAAGTCTTGCAATTGGTTGAAAAACTACGTAGGACTAGTGCATTACTTGAGGAGTATTCTTTCTAAATTATAGAAATCACAGAAACACAAGCTACCAATAAATCCCAATCCACAATACAAAGCTATTTGCAAATAATAAAAAAGTGTTTTATTTACATCAAATGCAAACTTACCATTAGTTTGTTGATTGCTCTGAAAAGCTCAGCTTTGTTTCCCGTGTTCTAAAGCAAACATATGATTAGAAAGTTTAATAAAAATAAGTATCCAAATGTAAATAGCATTTTAGTAAAGGTACACATGTTTAGCTTATCTTCACTAAAGCAAATGAAAAAAAGTGATTGACCATACCCTGCATCTGTCATATGCACACATGAATTCACTTAAAGCGATAGCGGTGGCTTGTCGTCTTAACGCCTACAAGAAATAAGTGAAAATTTACTAACAACATGCATATATAATCAATTATAGCTAATGACATACTTTATTTCTCTTCATTAATTTGTATACCAAAGTGACTACTTATTAAACAGTGTATTAAAGTGCATTGTAACATGTCTTGCAAGTTATAAATTAACATAAATTGAACTAGCAAAACTGGAAAAAATATCTGTAATTTGATAACTTATTTTGAGATATAATTTTGAGATATATAAAAAAACTCTTATATGTTTTGATTGTTTTTTTTTTTATTATCTCTAGAACTTCTAGAAAAGAAAATATAGGTGTTAGCATGTCCAAGATTAGTGAGTAACAATCTTAGAAACAGCTGCTATCTATCCCTCCTTTTTCTCCAACCCTTTTTAATCCCTAATTTCCAGTATATATGCTCTTCTGGGCATTTCCCTATTCCCTATTGAATACACTAGATAACTTACATGTTATCTAGTGCCAGGTCAAGTAATCAGGGATTGTTGCCCTATCGTCTCTGAAATCAGGCTGCGTTGTCTTTGTTGGACTTCTGAACACTACACTGCACATGCGCCCAGTGATTGTGTTCACAAGTAGCGAAATGAGCTGACAAAATGAGTGACAGCTCATCTCACTGACAAAATGAGTGACAGTGACAGCTCATCCACTGACAAAATGAGTGACAGCTCATCTCGCTGACAAAACGCCCATCCTTCTCCCAATCACTAAGTAGGGGACGGAGAGAGGCCTTTACCGAGGGTGCCGAAGGGTGGATAATGGGCTGGCGGGCTGCAGGGAGGTTGGGTTTCTTCTTGCAGGTGTGCTTACAGTGATGCCTTTAAGATAATAATCTAATCAACATATGTTGCCTGTGTACTGAGCATGTTGATGATGGGTGTGATTTTAGCACAGAATTAACATTAGTCAGATCACAACTGAGTTACTGGCTGATTAAGTCACGTGTGAAGGGTTACACTTACAGCCCTGCACATAATGAAAGATTTCTCTGTATAGACAGCATCTCAAGCTAAAATGCTGCAGATACAGATTGCTACCCTGATTAACACTTTTAAAAGCAACAATGTTTGTGGTTGTTTGAGTAACCCTTTATAAATTCTTAATTTTTATGTGCATATGTGTGATTACAAACACAACTGTAATGCCACAACAGCATGAACAATTGGCATAAGAGCATACATGTTGATATCAAGGCATGGCAGAAATGGACCTTGCCATTTTTATATAAGTAGAAACAATCAAAACTGTCACATCCAACTAGGAAATGTGGTAACTTAACTAGGTAGTGTATATGTTACAGTTAAAGTGCAGAAATCAGTTAATGTGCACATTACCTAGTTAATCTGCAGAATGACTAGGGCGATCAGTTAAAGTGCAGAAAATGATTTCGTTTCTCAAATATTTCTCACATTATCTAGGTAACCTGCAAATTACCTAGATAATCTGCACATTACCTACTAGGCACTCATTACAGTGCAAAAATATCATTCTGCAGATTAACTAGTAATGTGCACATTAACTGATTTCTCACTTTAACTGTAACATATACATAAGCAGAGTTAGTGGCCAGTCAATTTTTCAAATTTAAAATTTTCACAAGATTAGATAAACTCAGTTCTAATTGTGGGTAACAACAAAGGTATCTCGATAATGTGTGGGTCAAGAGCCCTGGATGCTTGGGTAGTTAGAGAGTTATGGCAAAGTGCCCCAGAAAAGGAAAACATATGATTTAATTGTAGATATAAGGAAAAGGCATTTGGAATTCAAATGCATAAGCAGCATTCTACCTGATAGTGGCCTAGCGCCCCTTAACAAGCTTAAGGTATCAGCCCATCCCTACCACAAGCAGGGCATAATTCCACACAGTAAAACGGGATAAAAAGATAACATTAAAACATTAGAGGCACACATGAGATACAGATAGTCAAGCATGAGTAACTAAAATAAAAACAAAATAAAAGATGATGTGTTGTCAGACGAGTGCTGGAGCACCAAGCTTAATGCAGGAGTCCACCGCAGAGAAATGGGCAAAGGCGAAGGCCAGAGCTGCGGAGTGTGCCAGAGGGCCTATAGGATCCACCTGTGCTTCCAGCCGATACTTGTTTTGAGTGAAAACAATTGGGCTCTTTGAAGAGGGTCCCCTGTGGGAGGGTGATCAAAACTGGGGGAAACATAGGGTAGTCCCACATGGGAATGCCACAAACACTTCTGCAGGCAAGCACCCCTATATTGGCTCAAAATCTTGCAAATATGAGGTCCACCTTAGCCAGAGGGCTACTTAGCCACTGTGGGCTGCATCAGGATTTCCGGCTGCTTTTGCCACCATCTTGTGAGCCATGTGCGTTTTCACATTCTGCAGTGGTGAGGTCGATAAACCTCACCGCTCCAAAGGGGGAGAGGGGGAGGGAGGGAGGTGCAGAAAACCCTTTGATTCAGCACCGGGAGAGCAGTCGCCTCTCCCACGCCTGTTGGGATCAAATGATGCAATGGTTAGAGGACAGTCATTCTGGACCAAAAAGGTTCTGAGTTTGGTATCAGTCAGTTTGCCAAGGTCCCTATGTGGTGAAGTTTAGTTTGTGGAGGAATCTGCAATCTGACTGGGTTAATTTAATCAAATATTATGCAAAGCTCAGGAGCTTGCTCGGAACGCGTCCGCTCTGTTTGCCAGTCAGGCTCCGTCTTCCCTGTGTAACCCTTTAAAGGATAGCTGACATCAAATTTTAATTCATATTGGGTCAGATTCTACTAATACTGATCAACCCAACCTAACTTGCCTGCTCCTGTGATTGTTCTGTGTGAACCTGCAGCGGCAAGTTAAATTAAGCAGCATATGGTTAGAAAACTGTTAAAAAAAAAAATCCTCAAAAAAGTGAAGCATAATTTAAACCATTAAAAATAAGAAAATTTGATAATAGTTATCATTTATTTAAACTCGTCTTGCTTTTTTGATATTCCCAATGTGGTGCATGTCAGTAAAAGGGTAACAACCACCAATCTCTAGCAGCCAAGGATGTATGAAATATGTGCAAGTACAGTACATGGATATTTTCTGAGTTTGTGGGGAATATTTGCACTAATTTGACAAAGCAGCTTTCATTTATCAAGTTTTTAAACTCAGAAGAAATGCTTATTCATTAAGTTTTTTAAAAACTTGGCTACTTAGGGATCTAAACGGTTCCAAAGTTATGTGAGCAGCTGAAACCAACAACAGAAACAGTATTCTGTAAGTACAACAGAAAAATGTATAATCTAATACAAACCTTCAGCTATACAATATAAGACATAACACTACATCTGTGTTTAAACATAAATTATTATTTCCATTAAATATTTATTACTGCTGCAAAACATCCAATGAATGATATTTTTTGTTAAAAGTGACCTAGGGAGTCACAAATACTTACCAAAGCATTCTTTAAACAAGAAAGGTCACTCATGTATTGTACTTGACAGCTATTATAGCATCTTTTGAAACAGTCCGATGTAGCAGGACCTAGAAAATTGATGGACTTTAAGTGACAAAAGCAACTGCACATACACAAATAAAATATGTTTAGGTAGGTAGGTATGGGGAGTAGTTGGTCAAAGGTTTTCCAGAAACTGATGTGCGGATGAGTCTATCAAAGAGGGCTCACCAAGGGAAGAGTTAGTTTGGAGGAACAGATTAATTTAAGAGAGAGGTGGGAGAGATCATAAATAAGCTGGCAACCCCTATCCACAGCTCCAGGATTATCAGCCATTTGTAGTCGGGGACAACAGTCGATAGTGTTGTAGATAAGTATAGAGAATAAGTGGTTGTCTTGTGCGTAAAAACAATGTGTGGCCTTATAGTGTGTTTCGAGGACATGGCTATAATTGCCTGTTGACTGGAGGTTCAGGTACATTTAAGAATTGTTTATACTAGCATACAGTTATTACATATACCTAGTAATTAAAGTACTCATATGTGACACCTGTTGAGTAAATAGGTGAAACTCAGTGTCAGTGAGGTAAGGCTTGTGAAAAAGGAAACAATCAGCTGGGTCAGACCTTGTGACCTCTGCCATAGAGGAAGCTGATTAACAAAAACATTTTATGAACAAGTTTCCTCTGGGAAAGAGGAAGCTGAGTAGCAAGACCAATGTACAGTTGCAAGAAAAAGTATATGAACCCTTTGGAATAATATGGATTTCTGCACAAATTGGTCATAAAATGTGATCTGATCATCATCTGAATCACAACAATAGACAATCACAGTCTGCTTAAACTAATAACACACAAAGAATGATTCCAAAGGGTTCACATACTTTTTCTTGCAACTGTATGAGCTTGTGACCTCTGTGATAGAGGAAGCTCAGAAAAAGGAAAGCAGTCACCCCTGCTAAATTTCCATGAGTGATAAAAAAAATGCTGTAAAAGGTATCTAGTATGAAGTTAATTATGTATGTCCTGTCTGGCAAATGCGAGGTGAAATGATATGCAAAAATCGAAATAACCATATCACAATCATGGTTGACATTTATATACTTAAAATACCTATGGTTACCGACTTACATACAGCAGCACAATACTTCGGGTAATGGTTATCAGTATAGTGACACAATGCTTGGGATGACTAATATAACTGATATTGGTAATACAAAGCCCATAGAGACGGATATACTGTACATCAATTGACAATGCAGAGGGTGATTGATGTACTGTAGATACAATGATAACACAGAGTGACTAACATACATAAGTGACAAAACACAAAGGATGACTGGTATAATGTACATACAGTAACAACAAGTAGGGTGACAGGTATACTATACATGCTGGTATTCTGTGCATACAGTGCAACAAACACTGTGCAACACCACTTGTTTTTCTGAAAATAATATCCAGTGCTTACTAATATATTAGACAGAGACTGAGCAAATAGAATTTATCAAAAAGATTACCACACCCACCCCACCCCATTTCTGATTCTGTGACCTTTGCAGAAGACGGGGCTCAATAATAACCAATTTATAAGTGTGACATCCGCAAAAAAGAAAGCAAAGTAACAAGATCAATTTATAAGCATGTAACCTCAGCATAAGAAAAAGCCGGGTAATCAATTTATTATTTTTTTAACGCGTACCTAGTACATCAATTTGACAAAACTATTAAAACCTGCTTGTATGACTAAGCCATACCCAGACATAGCTGAAATTCTTGCGTAAGTAAATTGAACTGACAATCAAATTACTAAATCAAACTTAGAACAAAATAACATCCTAAAGTGATCCTATGTATTAATAAAACTGGATTACCTACTGTTACAAACAGCCTAGATTGGGCAACCATTCACACGAAGAACCAAGGCCTAAGTCTGAATGACATTCATATGGCCAACCAAAACAGAAAGACAAACATAGTGAACCAAAACTTATTAGTCTGACATTCCCATGGTGAACCCAAGCCCAAACAAAGTTTGAGCTCCTGTATAAACAAAAATGTTTTTGGGAATCCTAAGGAGAAGCTCCTGCAAAGCAAAAGATACACGTGAAACATGCTCATGTATTTGTGAAACTGTATACATTAATGTGTGTCCTAGAGTTTATAGGCCCTGTAAGGTGAGAGAAAGGTATTGCATGAGCACAACAAAAAAGTAAAAGTGTATTTGTTGGGCATGCACAAGTTACATTGAAATGTGCACTTGCTAGGAAAATTATGGTTGGATTTTCTGGCCTCTCTGCCTACACTGCCACCACTGACTTTCCAACAGCCTTCTACATCAGTGGCCTCTGTTCTCTAATACTCCACCCAGTCTCAACTCTACACAAGATAGTTGCTGTTTCTTACAGTCTCACCCATTAATGGTCAACAATATTGGGTGAGACTGAGCCTCACCAGAGGTTTCTTATTTTCCATGGACCATAGTGTCCCAGGGTCAACAGTTCAAAATAAATCATCACCATTAATTCACAGTTTCAAATGTTGCAACTTGCGTTAGAGGTTTCATTTAGTTAGGGTTAGGAAGTAACTAGTAACCTGCAGTCAAGATCATGTGGAATGTAACTATAATTCGTGGCTGAGAATGATTATAGTATCATTGGTTGGATGGATGGATGAGGTTAAATTTGTATGTGTACATTTATAAAAGCCAGTGAAAATAAAAAATTAATGTATATTTGAGGTTGAATATTTGCATGTAAGAGTCGGCACAAGTATGTGCACAATGTGCATGACGGTCAGAAAATGTATGTGTGCATATATGTGGGTATATATATGTATTGTATATTTGTTCATATGAACAGTGAAAATACTCTATAAAAACAAGTCTAAGTGTAGATATTGGTTACTTACTGAAGAAGCAACTGATAGCCACCATCAAGAAACACACTGTAATCTTCATGGTAGCGATGATAGCCAAGGATGGTACAGAACTATTCAAGGACTGCTCAATTTATATAAACTGAGATGGATAGATCATGACACATCAATAATTATAGTATCATCAAACGGAAAAGACCAAAATGTTCTTTGAAATATTAGAAATGTGGTCAAGTAAAAACATGTTTTTTAAATTCCTAATTATTATGGAATTTGTCATGGTATGTCATATATTTAAGTTCAAATTAGTGTTGTCTTAAGGTTTGTTTTACTAATGCAAAGCATATCTAATAAGATTTAAAATGGCAAATATCAAATAAGATATCAAATGGTAAATTAGCACAGGTTAAATTAAATTACAAGACTATTACTTTCATGTACTTGTGTCCACCGTAATCTGTGCTTTATATACATTAGTTTTGTCCATGGATTTAAATATATTGTGCTCCAATTTAGAATTGTTTATCATATCAGAATATTTTCTTTCTTAGAAATTCTCTCAATAAATCTTTCTGACCTAGACCTCAATTTAATATTGTTGGATAAGATTTTCAAATGGTTCAATATTTTTGGTTAATATGTTAAAAATTGATTTGATAAAACATTTTAGTTTTGTAATATTTTGATATAATTTGACAGTATTTATATATATATATATATATATATATATATACATATATATATATATATATACAAATATATACAGGCGTTTATGAACCCCCGCTTTATGAACTCCCACCTTTTCCTGAATGTGCCACCATTTTGTTTCACCTTCATTTTGTGCCAGCGATCCACGGATCAGGACCAAGAAGTTTGCTTTTGAGCACAAACAAGAAGAGAAAAAAAGAATAATGTGTGGCCAGGAGTAGTCAAGAAGAGAGAAGAGGATCAGGAACACAGTTCCTGAAGATATAGGCAAGTCTAAAAAATGGGTTTAGACTGTCCTGTAGTCTTACTGTGCTTTCATGGGCATACCTGTAATGTTATTGCCCTATTGTGTACTATTGAGTAGAGATTTGACTTGATTTCTCTGAGTGTGCCTGACATTGCTGTCTGTGTGTGTATGTGTGTGTTTGCCATTGTGCCATGTTTTGGCAGGAATAATCAGTGAGGAGCAGGAGAAGAGCTGGAGTACCTCAAGAACGGGGAGAAGGAAGAGAGTTTGAGAGCTGTAAAAATAAAATGAATAAAAGAAAAGTGCTAACAAAAAGAGATGCAAGCTTTAAAGTAAGGGAGGATAAAAGTTATAAAGGAAGTTGATAAATTAAAGAAGAAGGTGAATAAGTAGGAGGGCTTACGAGAGATGCCCCATTTTACAAGTGCAGCATGTCTTCATTAAAGAGTATGAGGATTGATGATAATTTGATTAAGATTTCAATACAGAATGTATTCTTTTAACGTTCCTACAACATATGTATTTGCTATGCTTTAATTTTGTATTTGTACTTCATAATTAAGGTTTTCAATGGTAAAATTTGTTGATCGGGAACAGAACCCATGTTTATTACATTGTGTCTGTGGGAAATTGGTTCTCACTTTATGAGCTCTCACTTTATGAACGAGTCTTCGGAACCAATTAGTTCGTAAAGTTGGAAACTACCTGTATATAAATTTAAAGTACACTAATTTCAGTCAAGCACCAGGACGAAATGCTAAACTAGACCGTTACATTGAAAGTTTCTGTCTAAGAACAGTATCCTTGACAACCGAGCAAAACCAAAAGAAAATGTTTCATAATCTCTCAGTACAGTAACAAACAGCTGCAAATGACTTGAAAAATAATTATGCTATCACCATCAAACAAGCAGACAAGGGAGGAGCAGTGGTGATAATGAACACCCAGGACTACATAAAAGAGGGGGACATTCAATTGTCAGATGACAAACACTATAGAAAACTAAATAAGGACCTCAACAAGGAATATACATCACAACTTAGGGAGCTCATTAAAGGACCACTATAGTGCCAGGAAAACATACTTGTTTTCCTGGCACTATAGTGCCCTGAGGGTGCCCCCACCCTCAGGGTCACCCTCCCGCCAGGTTCTGGGGGGAGGAAGGGGTTAAACTTACCTCTTTCTCCAGCGCTGGGTGGGGAGCTCTCCTCCTCCTCTTCTGCTGAATGCGCATGCGCGGAAGGAGCCGCGGGCGCATTCAGCCAGTCCATAGGAAAGCATTATCAATGCTTTCCTATGGACGCTGGCATCTTCTCACTGTGAAAATCACAGTGAGAAGCGCAGAAGCCCTCTAGTGGCTGTCAATGAGACAGCCACTAGAGGCTGGATTAACCCAGTTATAAACATAGCAGTTTCTCTGAAACTGCTGTGTTTATAGAAAAAAGGGTTACACCTAGCTGGACCAGGCACCCAGACCACCTCATTAAGCTGAAGTGGTCTGGGTGCCTATAGTGGTCCTTAAGTCCTTCCATGAGAATCTGCATCTAGAACTGCAATCACTCATACCAAATAGTCCCTACATGGGCACTTTCTATATGCTTCCCAATATCCACAAAGCAAGTAATCCTGGAAGACCCATAATTACAGGAATGGGAACTCTCACAGAACAGATCTCAGGACTGGTAGAAAATACCCTAAAACCACTGGTCACCAACACCAACAGCTTCATAAAAGACACAACCGACTTCCTCAACAAACTCAGCCAAATCACCAATCTCCCTGCTACACCATCCTTGTAACAACGGATGTGGAATCTCTGTACAGCAACATTCCACATACAGATGGCATCAATGCTTGCTTCCATTTCCTCTCTTATGCTGACAACCAAAAGTACAGCCCCAGAATTATCACAGAACTGGCACTATTCATCCTCACACATAATTATTTTTAGTTTTAACAATTAGGTTTGCCTACAAACCATGGGCACTAAGATGGCACCCCAATATGCAAATCTGTTTATGGCAGATCTTGAACAGTGATTCCTAGAAATACAGCACACCAAACCATACAAAGTCCTTCCATGGAGTTTGGCCAAACTTTTGAAAAAAAGTCCTGAACTTTTATACCCTATAACGTTTAACATGTGTATTTCTTATGGTCTCTGTGTTAACCATTTCACAAGCTAGACATTTATTATTAGTAGTAGTAGTAGTAGTATTTGCACCATAGGTTTCTCTACTGTCTCATTACTATCATGTTTCCTTTAATCGCTACTTCTCCAAACTCTACAAACTATATCTACAAACTATATCTGATCTACCAATCACCCCCTCCATTATTTTTATCACAGTCTCATGTGGCCACCCTGCACCTCAGGACTTACATTGGGCCCCTTGGTTACTTACTGAAGAAGCAGCTTTGCAGTTCTGGTTTGCTCAACTCTATAATGGAGCCTTTGATCGCTACATGTATTACTTGGATAACTGGTAATTCTCAAGCTAATACATGCCGACGAGCACTAGGGGAAGGCCACTCCGCTTTTGCACCCTGCTCCCTCTTATGCTGTGCTGGTGCCTCTGTGCGACCAGCGCCTCTTCCTCCAAACTGCACGTCACTCACATGACCTTGATTCCATGTGGGGTCTAGGACTTCATCATCCTCCACATAATCTTCCACCCACTCCTCAACCATGCTCTCCTTGCCGGTATGCACACTACAGAAAGCCACAGCAGTTGGCACCTGTGTTTTTCCTGCATGTAAAGTCTGCAAAGGACATATGTCTGCAAAGGAATGTTTTCAACTGCGCAGTAAGCGCACTATTTGACTCTTCTATTTGACTCCCAGATATGAAGTGAAAACCCCAAATATACTATTTAGCACCCAAAAACAAAATTAACTTTTTAAAAAACCAATGTAAGCAGCAGATTAGCAGCAAAACAATTAGAAGGTTTACAACTGCGCAGTAAGCGCACTATTTGACGCTTCGATTTGACTCTCAGATATGAAGTGCACGCCCCAAAATGTACTATTTATGTACTATTGTTTTAGAATTGTATCCAGGCAACAGTTTTCTCTATAAACTGACCTCTCAGTTTGACTTGTGAGGGTACTGCCCCAGAATTACAATATTGTTTAGGTACCTCTTGGCTATTGATAACTGGTTTAAATATAGCAGCTTGTTATCTGGTAGTTTCTAGTGTAGAAAATATCAATCTCTTTTCTATCACTTAGATCTGTGTAACAAGTGTTGTAGGTGTGAAACAATATTACAAGTGACCGATGTAGTAAATTCGAATCAAAGTTACGCTTCGATTTGACTCTTAGACATGAAGTGAACACCCTAAATATACTATTTAGCACCAAAAAAAAAATGACTTTTAAAACTACAATGTAAGCAGCAGATTAGCAGCAAAATAATTAGAATGTTTACAACTGCGCTGTAAGCACACTATTAGACACTTCTATTTGACTCTCAGATATGAAGAGCAGGCCACAAAATATACTATTTAGCAGATTAGCAACAAAACAATTAGAATGTTTACAACTGCGCAGTAAGTGCACTATTTGATGCTTCTATTTGACTCTCAGATATGAAGTGAACACCCCAAATACACTATTTAGCACCAAAAAAAATAAAATTTACTTTTTAAAACTCCAATGTAAGCAGCAGATTAGCAGCAAAACAATTATAATGTTTACAACTGCGCAGTAAGCGCACTATTTGACGCTTCTATTTGACTCTCAGACATGAAGTGCACCGCAGGCTGCAAATGTACTATTTAGCAGATTAGTACCCAGAAAATTAGAATTTTTACAACTGCGCTGTAAGCACACTATTAGACGCTTCTATTTGACTCTCAGATATGAAGAGCAGGCCACAAAATATACTATTTAGCAGATTAGCAACAAAACAATTAGAATGTTTACAACTGCGCAGTAAGCGCACTATTTGATGCTTCTATTTGACTCTCAGATATGAAGTGAACACCCCAAATACACTATTTAGCACCAAAAAAAAATAAAATTTACTTTTTAAAACTCCAATGTAAGCAGCAGATTAGCAGCAAAACAATTATAATGTTTACAGCTGCGCAGTAAGCGCACTATTTGATGCTTCTATTTGACTCTCTCAGATATGAAGTGCACACACAAAATGTACTATT